CTTGAGGTTGCAATATTCGTTCAAAGTCAGATGGTGCTTTAGAAACAGCACCAAAGAGGCACCGAAACAGATGCAAAACTAATTTAGTTTCAGCTGAATCTGGATTCTTCAGGACACCAAGTTTGCTGCTTACTAGGAAACTAATCAGAACATCTGCAAATGGCTTGTATACTTTGGGAGCTTGCAGAAGAGTAGCAAATAGTTGAACCAGTTGAGTATTGTCAATCATGCACTCATAAAGTTCAGGCATACATAAAGAGAGTATATCCATTAGATCTCGAGGTTCCATAACAGCCAAAATTTGGGAGTAAAGATTTAACATTTCCTTCTCCTCGTCCTTCTCTTTGAAGAGAGCTAAGCAATGGACACCATTCTTTAAAACACCACACGCTTTCCACACCTACTTAAAGGTAGAGATTACTAGAGGTTTATCAGCCATAAACTATTATTGCCTACACTAAACAATCTGACATGCAATACCTCATCTTCTCTCATTCCTTTAAATGCCTGAGTAACTGATGAGTTCGAAGTAAGAGCTTGTGGGTGCATTCCCTGAAGTCGGGGTAAATGTGCATGGGTTATACTCCATATGATTGTCTTCATTCCTGAACACAAATCAGGAAAAGTCCTTATCATTTAGAAACATAATCAATATGTATAACTGATCCACCAAGGTGAAAGGTCAGGATTCAATACCCATCACCAGCGTCTTGACCAGATTCTTACAATCATTGACTTCTTTGGAATGTTCGGCAGGAACCTGCAAATTTAAAACTGCCTGCAACCAGCATGGTTAAAAGTAAACACCAGACATTATCTATAAAGATAATAATGCTTCAGGAAAATAATAACGGCTTAGATTATATATTTCCGGCTAAACTATAATCCAAACTAGAAACGAAATTTGAGTCCCTATTTAAGAGGATAAAAGAACGCTGTGGAACTAGCAAGTTTAAAGATACAGTGGAACACAATCTCACATTGCCTGAGAATTTGGCTACTTGTTAAGACAAAACAGCGATTATAGAAAGTATGGAATTTACCTGGACAGGAAGTTCAAGCTTCGACCTCAAAGTGATAAGATTATTTCCCTCACCTTCCTCTAAAAGCTATGAAGCAGAAAGCAAGACGAAGTAACATATCAACGAATTAAAAGAATTAACAATCGGGGTAGTTAAAGGTTCAAAATATCTCAAAATATAACACAACGGAAAAAGTTCAAAATATAAAAACACCTTTCTCAAATAGTTACATAAACGTGTTACCTGAGGAATAGTGCGCTTGAAGGTATTAAATTTCTCAACAAAGGCATCCAGGATACGTCCCTATAATAAACAGATGATGAGTGAAGTAAGTTAATATTAGAGCAGCAACCACTGCTAGAATGAGCTCTCGGGAGTAAAGCTATACCAATAAAATCCGAGACTCGTCCATCAACTGCTGATCAACACCTTTCTCAAATATTGGTTCCACCTGAACCCAACATACGAATTAAGTTTTACCAAATATCGATCCCAGCATAGTGGATAGATTACGCCACATAAATGTTAAGTAATATATAAAATTTAAATAAGGCAAAGACGATGGAATATATAGCTATACCAGATTTAACATCAGTCGTGCACAAGTTGTTTGGATGTTAAGAGATAGGGTCGAGTCATGCATATTCCTTGAAAATAAATAGATGATCCGCGATAACTGCCACATTTTTTACAATCAAATAAAAGAATTGTAAGAGAAAGATCGTACATAGAGCAGATAATGGACCCGCAAAATATCTAAGAAATAGGATTCCTGAGGTTGGCAAGAAAGTTGCTCAGTATGCTGTAATTTGTATTCTTAAGATTTGTTGATGGAATCTTAATCGGTCCGAATAGTTTCGGAGAGGTTTCATGTCTACAATCAAGAAACAAAACTTTCCCAAGCCCGAGCACTTTCTTATCACTGTTCTTATCACCGTAATTCTTATTCATACCCAACCACAAATCTACAGATTCAAAGCATAAACTGTGTACTGGAACACATCAGCATCACTTACTATAGAATCCAATGTCAATTAATGCATAGGTTCCAGAATTAAAACTCTCCCAGCTAAAAAAAATAATTAAAAACAAAACAACGGGAAGAACCTGAGAAATGGACAGTTCTGCTCGAACTTGGTGAACAATCTCGGCCAGTAGGCTGTAAGCCAGAGGTCTCAAAGACTCGGAGCATGCCCGACCCGTTCCTACTAGAACCCTGACAAAACAGCGAGAGATAACACAAGCCATAATTTGTTGATAGATAGCATGCAAGGTGGGCAGTTACAGGTTTACTTGATACCAAAAAAGCTTCCTGATAGGTGTGAAATTTTAAATTTTCAGAAAGGCGAAAATGTATTATACCTTTCTTCCAAAAGAGTGTCAAGAAGAGGAAATAAACCCCTCTTAAAGTCCGTCCCAAGTACATGCTTTACTGAGACTAATAGTTCCTGCATTGCATAGACCAAAAGACAAATCTATAATTGCAAGCCAGTGATTGGGTCACAAGGTGAAAACATACTGAAGAGAAAGGAACAGACGGTTCTATACCTTTCTGATAGATGCAGAATCCGAACAAGAGACAAGCAAATTTACAATGCTCTTACATATGCTTTCTTCATGCGGCCTGATATATTCGGCACAACTTTTTAACAAGTAAGTTAAAAAAGAAACCGTCTGCAAATAAACAAAAGAGGAAGACAAACGCTAAAAAAGTCAATATGCCATTCCATGATCCCTCTAATCATAATAATTACATTCGAAACAAAAAGGCATTTTAGGCATTACTGAAATCAGAGTTCAAAATAAGTTACGGTTTACTTCCTGAGAGAGAAAAATTGTCTCACCTTAACCTGAGCCCCCTTAAATTCAATGAACTGGTGCTTCTTACTTGAAGGCACTTCCTCAGGTCCAGAGTCAGATATAGCAGCAACCATCAGGGGCAACAAGGTAGGTATATTGATGTGAATAAGTCTGCTATAGAGCTGTAAAAGAAACATAACAACTAGGGGGCTCTCTGTGATTATTTTAAACGAACGCGTACTCGGATTAATCTTCCCATTCCTGAAATGCATAGTAAGGGACAACGACTGATCAGACGGCGTTGATACCTCCACAGGCTTCGCCTCCTCCTCTTTCACAACCTCGAACGAATGGCTGATGGTCAATCCAAAGTTCTGGTAAATCTTGACAACGAAATCCAAAAACGGTTGAACCTCACTATCCAACGAGGGCCTAAAGTTCCTAAGAATGTCAAAGATTATACGGATGCATATAATCCCATTCTCTTCGTTATCCGTCGTTAGCACCTGCATTGCAACTTTCAAGAGGTCTTGCGCATAGGGACGAAGGACCTCGCTGTGGGGGATACGGTTGAGGATCTCAAGGACGACGTTGCGTAGCTTGTGCTCGAGATTATCATTGAACTGAGGTGTTGTGATGTTGAGAAGAATCGTTGAACATGCGTCGAAGTAACATTTGAGAAAATTCGAGTAATCAGCCGTGTGTGTGATCTCTAGGCTGTCTCTAACCTCCACCACCATCTCCAGCCTCGTCTGAGTAGCTACATAACAATAAATAAGCAAATAATAAAGGTTCCGAATCGATTGAGACGAAATCAAAAGAAACTGAGAGGAGAGTGAGAGGTTTTTTTTACGAAGGTCAGGCTCGAGGAGACGAGTGGAGTGCTCCTCGAAATTCTGAATCGGACTCATGGCTAAGCGAAGACGAGCGAAACGGTGTCAGTTAGGGTTCCGTCGCGTCGCGGTGGAAAATTGTACGTCGTCTAAGCCTGGGGTTTTTTTTGTTCTGACGATCCCTAACGGCAAGCTCAAGGTGGGTGGACGACTAGGTCAGAAACTAGGGTTCGTCGATTCTCTCGAGGGAAGATTTGTGATTCTCTCAACGCAATTTTCCCTCTCTTTTTTATTTTTTGTTGTTGTTGTCTCTCTGCGAGCGAGACGAGTCTCCCTTATGAAAAGAGAGAAGCGTTAAGAACACGAGCGTTACAGTGAAACGAGAATTGCTCTGCCCGATTCTCTTGTTTATATAAGGTCTCGTTTTTTATTATTAATAAAAGGTCCGATTTTTATATAGAGATAAAGTCCAAATAAATCAAATTTCATTAGTGTGCAAAAGAAATTAAATATTCTCAAAAGGATACTTGAGATATTTTGTTGACTATAAAATGTTGAATGTCTGGTCAATCCAGATTTTGGTACGAGATATCCTCGTTTCTGATTGGTTGTTTAGAAAATATTAATGAGGTTCAACCATTTAGAAAATATTAATAAGGTTCAGCCATTCTTGTGTTTACGGTATAAATTAGTTGTTTTTTTCCACACATACGAACTCAACCATTTTATAATAATTTATTATTAATAAATGTTTTCCTAACTAAAATACTATAAAGATAAATTATTATTTATAATTTTATTACAAATTTTGTATTCTATATTTTTAAAACATATATATATTTGCAATATATTTATTATTAATAACTAAATATTTACTATAATTTATTTTATTTTTCAAATATAAAAAATTAAGGATTTTATTAATATTTAGTTATGTATTTTCTATTGTAAATTTATTTTTTTATTGTAAGATATTTTGGATAAAAATATAATATTTATAAAAGAATTATATTTTAAAAAATAAAAAAAAATTATAGTTTTTGAGTTCGACCTCTTCAAATTCAAATTTTTTATAGAATTTTTTTAACATTTTTTAATTTTGTTTTTACTTGTTTTTGAAATTCAGAAACTATTTGTAAAAAAATTATCTTAATTTATGTATTTATTTATATATTTATTAGAATTTATTCTTTAGGGTTGAATAACTTGAATTTATCGACAGTCTCTTATAATACGCCGATAACACTTTTGATTTATGTGGGCCTAAAAGTAAGCCCATTATTTAAAATCTAATATCAGTCTGGGTCTTAAAATCTTAATCTAATTAGCCTTACAATTTCTCGAACACAAACTTTCAAAAACATGTTTTGGCCTTAAAACTGGTTCATCTCCCTTGATCTCTGTAATTATCTCTGCCAATCGGCTACGGACTCGAACCAGCCGGAGCAAATCTCCATAACTCAATCTTCTGGTAACCGTACGGGTCCTTATTTCGTGCCATAAGTTTGTTCAATTGTATCTCCCTTAATTTAGTCACGGATTCTCTTTGTGGTAGATTTAGCTTATCTCCTACGTCTGTCTGTATCATGTGTTAGTAGGGTTCTCTTATTATTCGTGCTTGTTCTGCAATCGAAACCACTGATCATCGTTGTCTTCTTACTTCACCATAGTTTGTTGATGCTTCGTGTTTAGTTGTTGTTTCTGAGACGGTCCAAAATGTTTCGAAAATCAGTGGAAATGGTTCTGTATGATTAGTGTCGTTACTCTTGTTAGATTAGATGATTTGTCTTGTGACGCTACTTTATTTTTTTTATTTTTTTAAATTGCTTCTGTCTTGATCTTCATATCAATCATTGTCATTGCTCAGTCAACAAGAGACTTACTTAACACATTATTTTGAAGCCCCATTTGATATATTCTTTGTTTTCTAGGTCAACTAACCAACTAGATAATGTTGTTTTGGTTTTAGTTTAGAATCTAAAGCTTCCTTTTTTTTTACTATTGCAGAAACAAGTTTTGTTCTGGACAAAGTGGTTGGGAATAGCCATGTTTGCACAAGATTCATTATCAAGAGAAGCCCTTGAGATGAAATTTGGTCAACTTCATGTTGATTATGATTTACAAGCTGAGGAGTTAAGTGTTCTGCTAGACAGGGTCAAATCAGCTTCAGAAAGCTTGCACTTTTTGAGGTCAAAAGCTAGAATCTTGGCCGTTCCTGGTCTAGCTTCACTCGGTGCTGAACAGGTAGAGCTAGAAGATGATGGTTCAGTTTCTGAAGTGGACAAGGACATCAGTCTTGAAGATACGTTTACTGAGACTAGCAAGAACCAAGATTCCTTGGTTACAGAGGATGGAGCTTGTACATGGAAGATGATCCAGTCTATACAGATGGTTGCTGAAGTGCTGGAGTCTCTTCTGAGGAGGGTCACAGCGGCAGAATCTGAAGCGTCGTTTCAGAAGGAGAGGGTGATTATAGGGGAAGAAGAGATTAGAAGGAAGACAATCCAGATAGAGAATTTGTCATTGAGGTTAGAAGAGATGAAACAGATTGTACATGAGAATAAAGATGTTCTCGATGAAACAGTGGAGATAATTAAGAAACTGGTTGAAGATAGTATGAGAGATAGGGAAAAAGCTGTTGAAAATGAAGAGGAGCTCCGTCGTGTGAGGACAGAGTTTGAGTCACTTAGAAATTACGTGAATACTTCCACCAATGCTGTAGAAACGCTTCTTTCATCGGAGAGGCAGTTCCAGACTATTGAAGCACGGTCAGTCTCATCTCTTTTGTTATAAGCTCTTTTATGTAAATGATGAGACAGGTATATGATTGTTCAGTTACATATTGTGTAAAGCAATGTCTAGGTTAGCTTACAAATTGTGTAAAGTCATGACTTGAAGTTTTTATTATTGTGAAAGCAGGTTGGTTGCTAAGTCAGCACAGCTGGAAGGCGAGAAAGCGCAGAAAGAGGTAGAAGTTCAAAAGCTGATGGAGGAGAACGTGAAGTTAACCGCACTTCTTGACAAGAAAGAAGCTCAGATTCTGGCCTTGAATGAACAATGCAAATTCATGGCTTTGAATCCTTCAAACATCTGATTCTCCATCATTCATCTCTTGGCAAAAGAGAGGATCATTTGACATAGCAGCCGTACTTAATTTGCTATGGCCCATGGGATTCTTATGTTGTTCTTTGGTAACTCTGTACAATCATGGCTTTGAATAAGCAAGTAAAGTTATCTGTTGGCTGCTCATTTGCTAAATAGTTTTTGCTTCTCTATTGGTATTGGCTCTGGACTTGCATCGCACTATGGCTCTCATACGATATGATATAATGAAATAACACTATCAACGTAACTAAACGTGTGGAGTTTAGTCACCGAAGCATATTAGTTTCAACGATGTAGATTGAAGACAATACTTTAAGAATGTCAAACTTGGATACATGAATATATGTTTTGACTTGGTATCTTGAAAGAGAGGTTGTGCATATCTCTTCTTCCTTATGGAGTCAAATCATCAAAACCAAACTTTTCACTGGTCGTCGAACCAATCATGTTTTCGTTTTATGGGAGAAAAAAAAGAATCAGTGGAAGAATACAAGTAGAAAGGATCAAAATATTCTTCCATTATTGTGACATCGACAGGCATTGTCTCCTATACAAATAGTGTAATAAAACCATTTTTCCTATGGTCATTTTCATTCACAGAACATGAAAGTATCCACCGATTCTAAGTATTTACAAACAGGAACCAACTTGAAGTGACTGCTTTTAGTCTCTCTAAATCTGGAAGAATAAACACATTCACTTATTTTCTCCTAAGACAGGAGAAACTGTACAGATTGTGACATAGACAGTTATCAGAGGAGACACTCACATCAAGTGTGACACAAAAAACTGCAGAAGAATTGTAATTGGTTCAAAGACAGAAGAAACTGATATATACTCTAGTGGCCTTAGAACATGGTAGTGGGAGAAAAAAACCTCTCTCGTCATAAGTGATCCAAAATCAAATTTGTGGCTTAGAGTTTATTAGAGGGGGTATATGTCAGCTTCTGGTGCTAAAGAGACGTTGCTGAGTTGTTGTCAGAAGGCAAGTGCCACATGGGAGAGTCATATCTATATTTGCAGACATGGATCCTACAGTGTTTAGGGGATATGAGGGAGAGTTTGCTGAGTTGTTGTTAGAAGATAAATGCCACATGGGAGTGTCATATCTATATTTGCAGACATGGATCCTACAGTGTTTAAGGGAGGATATGAGCAACTCTTCTGTGACTTTCTCTAGTTGTTGTTTTTTTGTGTGAGTTAGCAGACATTTTTATGTCTCTTTGTTTAACATCTAGATGTATATTTATATATTTTTGTCGATTTCTTCCATTTTTGGTTGAGGTATATATTATCCCCATGATTTTTATACATTTTTTCTCAGCAGCTATATCCCTTTTTACATGTTTTGGACAGGAAATTGTAGGAAATTTAATTAGGGAAAAAGCTTTATATATGCAGTTTATCCTATGTATATTTATATATTTTTTTAATTTCTTCAATTATTGATTGAGGTATATATTATCCCCATGATTTTTATACATTTTTTTTCTCAGCAGCTATATCCCTTTTTACATGTTTTGGACAGGAAATTGAGTCTGTAGGAAATTTAATTAGGGAAAAAGCTTTATATATATATGCAGTTTATCCTTAAGGCTGTCGCTTTTACTACTGGAGTGAAAATTGACATTGTAGGAGGAATATGGAGATTTTTCAGTTTACTTTTTAATTATCTTTATTTTAAAATTGTCTACATATTAGGATCTTTATAAAGAAAAACCAAAACTTAGTCTCAAATATTCTTTAATGCATTTTGTCGTTAGGAGCTGTCCATTTTATAATTTTTGAACTCGGAACTGAATTAGTACTTATAGATGGGGAAAACTCTTTCGAAGATAAAGATGAAGTATGATAGTATTTGTTTTTATACATTTTGTCGCTAGGAGCTGTCCTTTTTTGTAGTTTTAAATGTGGACAAAAAAATCAAGACAAACAAAAAACAACTCTTAATTCTATCACTGAAGCCTCCTGATAACTACATCACATATCATACCTACGTTACAAATTCAGTTAGCCTCTTTTGTATTATTATTTTTTAAAGGCTCTAAATGTGTTATTTTGTTATAGTCTTGTAATTGTTGAAGGTGTAAGAAAATATTACATAGTTTCCAAAGCATATATATAACTCAATTTAGTTTAGATAAGGATCCAGGTTAAGGATCACAAAATTCAAGCATGTTTCAAGAAAATATTTTGTATTTGTGTTTAGGATAAAAAGTGTCAGGTCTAAAACACGTTGTAATTTGACACACGCAAGTGACGCAACCTAAATACAATCGAAGGTGTGTCTTATATAATAAAATTTGCGTGATTAGTTGGGACAGATATATCCACATGCGAGGCTGTCCTTTGTTGACTATCCTATACGTAAAATAGTACAATCAGTAACCAAAATACACTGCCGAGAGATGGCAGAGATAAGCCAATGCATATAGAGAAATTAATCTCTATATCTAGAATTTTTATAAATAAACCTCAAAACATCTAAATATTATTAAATTAAATTAGTGTATAATACATGTATAGTAACTGTAGACTCTTTCAAAATTTACGAACATGCATGTTGAATACTTTTAACAACAAATCCAATCAAATTAGAGATAGGATCACTGCCATTAACACGTAAATACATACCAAATAGATCATATTTGGGTTAAAAGTCGAGTTAATTTGTGTACAAAAGTCAAGAGGATTATTATCGTGGAAAAGAGGGTTGATGATGATGATGAATTGGGTGTGGGGGTAAGGGAGAGTGTGAGGGATCATGTCTACGAGTTATAACCACAACATAAGCGCCAATTCAGGACAGCCATGTGTTGACTCTTGCTCCTTTCATTATATATTTCATTTCCACCTGATCAACTCTCTCGCTGTCTCCTGCTCCTTTGTCCCTACGCACACTATCTCTTTACCTCGACGCTTTTAATTTTTCTCCTCTCTTCCATTTTCACCAATAGTGTCATTTTAACGTTTTTTCAAATTGGTTTAAGAAGATACAAGGCCTCCTCTGTTTGATGTTTCAGTTGAAGCCAAAATTTTAATCTATTTCCTTGTTCTCGGACAACTGAAAGATCGTCTTTTGGATCTTTCTTTTGTCGTTATATCTTAAATAGTCTTTAAGAGAATACAGATCCTTTTATAAATTGTTTGAGAGTTGAAAGCAGACCTTAAAAAATTAAGAACACTTCCAATAGAGGTTTTTAGGACAAAGTTTTTAGCGAATATAAGAATTTATCTCATTTAAAAAGTGGTTTTAAATTTTTAAGTTAAAAATCAAAAAAATAGAATTTTATATTACAATAAAAATCATATTGTAAGAATTTCTTATTGAAAATGGTCTAAGTATTGTATACTTTCTTTCTTATTTAACAAATATAATAGTTAACAATCTTTTTTTGACTAAAAGGTCGGTTAATAGTATATCAATAGTTAACAATCTTCATCTTTTGAAAAAGGTGAAATACTATATATGTGAGTTTTGTTATATCTATATATATATATACATGTGTAACTTTCTAGTGGATATGATCACTGGTTGATTAGTCTTCCTTATATTCCTCGGTAATTTTTTATTTGTTCATCTGATTTTTTAAGCAGCAGTATATTTATCTGTTGAATGTGAGATCTACTGCGTGTAACATATATATATGCTAGTACTTTATTTCAATCTTTTGAACCAAAACGTTAAAAGAGTTCATCTACGATACTAATCAATCTATTATATTAAAATAGAAATTATGATTTATTTCATGTGTGATTTTTTAATTAATTTATTATTTTTTCAACTATAGATATATATATATATATATTTACATATCGTATTCTATATGTTTGAAAAATTAAGCAGAAGAAAAACCTATTACGCTGATTAGTAATTATTGATTTCTCATACAGTCATATATACATACCCTAATGTTACAGAAGTTTTGGTTATTCATCAATCGGACATCAATCCTCTTTTTTTCATCAATCGGGCATCAATCCTCATACATACATAGATGATCATGTTCGACTTCATGTCTTTTTATGGAACTAATTCGGCTTCATATCTATGATATATGTACCACCATACAAACAAATAAAATTTTGTAAGCGATTAACTGATTGAATCAAATAAAAAGTCGGTTAGGTGACAAAATACTGTAGAGACTGCCAAAGAGTCCTTTTCAAACAACCTTTTAGATTTTCCTTTTTTGGCTATTAAGTTCTATATATACACGATATATTAAGTTCTACCACTCAAAATTTGCAATAATAAGATTTGAATTATCACAAATCCAAAGGTGAAAATTTTTTTGTGGATGCTGATTGATCCATCAGATTGAAATGAGATGAATAAAAATAAGGGGAAAAAACTGAACAGAAAAGGAAAGAAGTACGTGGAATACAAGGTACCAGAGGAATCGGATGAGAACTTGCATGGATTTGATACTATCAATTAAACAAAAGATTAGGCTCCAACCTAAACATTTGTTTCCGTTCTCAAAATTTCACATGGGGACAATTTATCATATTTCTTAGCTATATATGTTTTTCTTTTCTCGTACGCTTATTAATTATATACATGTCATAATTGAAATGTGAATATATTATAAGAAAAAAAAAGTATCCAAAGCAACTGAACCAAGCTGAAATTACAACAGAATTTAAGGTGACTTTTTCGAATGGGGCTGAAATTTTTAGGATGGACGATATTTCATATATAAATTCAGTTCGTCACCAGATATGTACAAATATATGAATCTTGCAATAACCAATATATTCCTAATTTAAAATTGGTTTATCGACTTAACCAAGAAAAAAATAGAAAACCACCGAACTACAATCATTTTGTGTAATTTATTCCATGTTAATTTGTAGATATATAAGAAGAAGCGAGAACGAATGGGTACGTATATTAAAGTGTTGGCAACTCTAGTTGTAGCAAAAGACATGTGATATTGCAAGTACGTACTTTGGTTCACACCCCTTTATACTTCGTCCGTAATACCTTTGCAACGGAATCAATTTATGACAAAACGGGTCTATATAACATATTAACGGCCATACTATATTTTCGTTGATTTATATGAACATATTAGCTGTAATAAGCTTGGAAGCTTCAGTAGAGACAGAATCTGAACAAGAGTGTATAGTAATTGGAGAGAAAACGGACAATACTCATATTAATTTGTAGAGTTGTGTCTTGATAACAACACAAAGAGGGAGACACTGTAGGCCAATGTGATAGTCCCTACCTTATTTATAAGACTTTTAATTTTATTTAATTTGTTTGCATTCTTTCACATTTCCCCTATGGCTTTTGTCTCTGAATTTCCCTTGTTTCCTACATCCCACATGATATTTCTTTCAAAATTACATAAATAAAACATCCATTTTTATAATTTTCTATGGTAAATTGATATATATTTAGAATTATAAGAATTTTGTTGTTGTTAACCCAATAAACGTCGGACGTTCAGTGACTATATAATCAAAAAGTGTTAAGACTTTGAAAGTATTTTTGAGTTTGACGAGATTAAATGTATATTGTATGTGGGTTTGTGGTTTGCATTAATATGATTGATCACCAAGGAAAACACAACATGTGTTTCTGCATGAATTAGTCGTCGTTCACAATACATATAACCTAGTCACAGATTAAATCTTCTAAAAGTCATTAGTAAACTTAAAAAATCTATGTGAATAGAAAATACATCTTTATATACATAAGATTTTTTCTTGATAATTTAATAAACTCTTCCAATTTCTCTCTCTCATTGCGCCCTTATATAACTCTCCATTCCTCCCCACCACCTTCACATCCACACCTTTCTTCAAGCTTACCAAACTCTCTCTGTTATCTCATTTTCTCTCATTCTCTCCATCTCTATCCAAGTTAGGTTTCAATAAGCTAAAATCATGGCGATAAAGAAGTCGAACAAAGTGGCAGCGTCACAAGCAGCAACTATAAAGAAAATCTTGAAGAGATGCTCGAGTCTTGGAAAGAAGAATCAAGGCAGTTGCTACTTTAGTGACGTGCCGAAAGGTCACTTCCCGGTCTATGTTGGTCAACAAAGGAGTCGTTACGTGGTCTCAATCTCATGGCTAGCTCATCCTGAGTTTCAGACACTACTCCAACTAGCTGAGGAAGAGTTTGGGTTCGAGCACGACATGGGTCTCACTATCCCTTGTGATGAAGCCGTCTTTCAATCACTCATCTCCATGTTCAGATAGAACTTGATCTTGAGAGAGACTGATTTAGCTTAATTGGTAATCTCTCGAGATTATGAATTTATGATCCCCTTCAAGGGTTTGATCACATTGTCACACTCTAGGCTCGGAAGACTGAAACGTCAAACTTTATTATCAAGAACAATGAAAAATAAATATATAATATATTATGGGATTTAGAATTTTTTTTTTTTACTTAAGAAGACGGAAGTAAATGGCCGAGCTAATTAACCACTCTCTTGGAATTTTTTTTTGTTCCTTAGTATAATCTAGTTTCGAATATGTATATTAGCTTGGGTGGGCGACTTTTCCCTCAAGTCAACGTGTGTTGTTGACCGTTGGTTCTTAAGAGGAATAGCTAGTTTACTTGTTTGTATTAATTTTGAATCAATAAATTTTATTTTCTTGTTTACATATAATTAATCATTTTCTCTTCGTCATAAAAAAAGTAGAACTTTAGATTACAAAAGAATGACTGATCAATAATCTAGTATAAATTACTAGTATTAATTTAGGATTTACTTTGACCAACAAACAAAAATCAATCTTTTGACTGCTACGTTTTGTAAGTCTCTATGCAACATAAGAAATTTTTTTTTCTGAATACCCTTATGTGAATATAACACTCAAAACAAAACAAAACAAAAATCATGTTGCCATTTTTCCCATCGTTATTCTCTCAGACAATTTTTTTTCACGTACGGTCTATCAACCATAGTTGGGCAAACATGAATGATTAATCAGTTTTTGTATAGTGTTATCCTTCATAACTTTATTTCCCTGGTTTACTAATAATAGGTTTTCATATACTAATTCAAATTATATAAATAATCTAACCTTACCATTATATATATATATATATATTACGATTGGACAATGTTTTTTGCACTCATCATCATATATGTTTATTCAGTATTGTTGTTTAAGGGGGTGTTATTCAATTAGTGATTTAAAATCAATTCTAAATATTTTACAATCTATCAAATTTTTAAATTTTAAGATTGTTAAAGTTGATGGATTCTAAAGTCTCTGCAATATCCCTTGGATTTTGAATTTAATCATTTATTCATTAGAATCCATCACCAATGATTTAAAATCTATTTATATTACAAATAATTTTAAAATCCTTAAAACTTGAATAACACCAGATTTTAAAACCTGAAATTCAATCATAGATTGAATAACATTGAATTTTAAAATAGAATTTAGAATCATCAATTGAATAACAATGGATTATGTTTAGATTTAAATTCTTTTAAAATACATGATTGAATAACACCATCTAAGTTAATTCTTTTATTCCAGATATATTATTGAAACAAGTCGACAATGTGTGTGTTTGAAAATGGGTTTGGAGAGATGAGTTGTTGTTTGAAAGGCAGAACATGTAAGCCACAATGTCTCGCCAATCTTGACACTTATCTTCCTCTTCTTTTTTATTTGTTTCTTTATATTCTATATACACACATATATGTGTGATTTTTGCGGTTTAATCCAATAAGCGCAGACAGTTATCATATATTCTGGTTTTAAATTAATAAGACTACCAGACGACACAAATGAGTTCAAATATAATATTCAGAAGAACACAAAACCAAATAAGAAGAAAGAAGAAAAGCATTTGTCGGTACAAACTCAGGCTTGCCCATACTCTCAGCTTGCTTTTGAGTTTATACCTGTCTGCTTGACATTGGTAAGCATTATCTGTTCTGTTTTCTGTCCGATTTTCCAAACTTTTGTTTCATAATTTTTTTTTTTTTTAAACTTACATTATTGTTTTCTATGCTGCATGGACCTCACGTTACGGTTTTCATTTTGTCAGAAAAAAAGTATACATTGAAAATTAATATAAACCAATGATAGCTCCTCTGAGAAAAACTTGCTTCCTTTATTTCTCTGGTATGGTATAGTAGTTTCATTGATTTTTCACATTCAAATTTTCAAAATATCGTACATAGGAACAATCATTTCAATATATCTTCATTGACCGAATATAGTTTTACAATTTAATGAATTTCCACCTACATACATTTATTATTGCTGACAAATATAAAATGTCAAAAAAATGAAATAGCAATTTTAGAGGGTGTTATTGGTTTGTATATTTTAGTGGATTTGAAAATACAAATCAAATATAATGTTATTGGTTCTATGATTTTAAAATCCCTATTCAAATTCATTGTTATTGGTTCTATGATTTTAAAATCTATATTCAAATTCATTGTTATTGGTTCTATGATTTTAAAATAGATTTTAAAATCAAGCGTTATTCAATAANTTTAGAGGGTGTTATTGGTTTGTATATTTTAGTGGATTTGAAAATACAAATCAAATATAATGTTATTGGTTCTATGATTTTAAAATCCCTATTCAAATTCATTGTTATTGGTTCTATGATTTTAAAATCTATATTCAAATTCATTGTTATTGGTTCTATGATTTTAAAATAGATTTTAAAATCAAGCGTTATTCAATAATAATAATTTGCTTGAGGATTTGATTTTAAAATAGATTTGAATGGATTTGTGAGTTAAAAATACAAAGAAGCAAATATTGAGTTGAACCTTGTTATTTTGATAGTGTATTATTGATTTTCTTAATAATTGTTTTCTTGCCCCAAGTTTTACGTACATATTATCCATGTTTCTCTAATAATAAGCAAATACTAATATATTAACCAACCATCTCTAACTTAGCTTTGCGTACACATAGACGTTAATATAAAAATTTACCAAAGATCTCTCATAGGAGTTTTGGTCTACAAATGTTTTCTGGAGATTCTACTGCATAAATGACAAAGAGTTGTTTACCATCATCATGTTTTTCTGAGAAATGTTAAGAATTTTTGATATATTCAAATCTCGATTTTTAATTTTTAATGTGCATCCCCTTTTTCTTGTAAGACACAAACGGAGAGAATATTTGTGTGTTAGTTTACGTGTAGTTTTTTAAAAAAGTTCTAACGAATCGATAACTTTTCTGAATAAAAAAATTTTGATGAAGAAGAAGATCTTGAGGAAGTTACTCGAACTGAAAATCAACAAACAGAATATGCCAATCAAGTGAGAACGGCAATAATAACAAGTATGAGAGAGATTTTATGTTATCATAATAACATAAGATATAGAAAATAATAAACCATATGTTGTAGTTTTATATATATTTTCTATTGTTACAAAGCTGTGTTTATCACAAATCCATTTCCTTGATTTTGAAATCTATTTCATTAACTCTTAAATCTACGTATTTGATTCTAAAATGTGTGGATTTGTCAAAAATTTCAAAATCCAAAAAGGATTTCTAAATCTATAAAATCCTAGAACCAATAACCCCCACTTANATATGTTGTAGTTTTATATATATTTTCTATTGTTACAAAGCTGTGTTTATCACAAATCCATTTCCTTGATTTTGAAATCTATTTCATTAACTCTTAAATCTACGTATTTGATTCTAAAATGTGTGGATTTGTCAAAAATTTCAAAATCCAAAAAGGATTTCTAAATCTATAAAATCCTAGAACCAATAACCCCCACTTAAATTATTTAGGGACTTTTTCCTCCAGTTGCGCTGCGCTCTCTTGATTTTTTTGCATTAAGATTTATTTAGAAATGACAATAGCAATTTGGTTTTGTTTTGGTTTTAGCAAAGTTCAAGTTTAGCCTTTTTCAGTAAAATGAGTCTTGTTGTTACAAAGAGCAAAAGCCATAATACAAAAAATATCTCCACTAAACTGGTCTCTTCTCACACACTTAAAAACGCATATAAAACATATACACATATCAAGAAGGAAGATGAAAAAGATAAAACGAACAAGCAGATAATGAGTATGTTATCTCCTAGCTTTTCTTAACGTCCATTGTTCTTCAGTTTAGAGGAGAAGAAACGGCCTAATCCGCGCGTATGCTTCTCACCATCTTCTCTAGAAGATGAAGAAACCGAGCTAGACTTGATGATAGCGTGGACCGTTGGATTCACTGTGTGTCTAAATGAATGAGATGGCTGAATGTTATTATGATCATGAGGAAGATCATCTTGTGCAGAGTTTGGTGTTGCTTCTGAGGTCTTCTTCTCAGGAGATTGAGATTTGTGAATGTGGTTGCTCTGAGGTTGTAAGGATTGTAGCTGTTGGCTTAGTAAGTGAATCGTTTCTTGGCAAGCTGCAAGCTTCTCTGTTGCAGATGCTATGTCTTTCTCCTGCCAACAATAAAGTTTTAGATCATTGCTAACTATTAGGATAATAAACTAAGTAAAACAGGTGTAATTGTTAATCTTGCCAAGAGAGAATAGTAAAATTATACCTGATTAGGTTGGATTTTGGATGCTGAACACTTTCTGCAAGTCTCATTCCTTCAGTATAAGTCAAGATTAGCAAACCAAACTATGCATAACATGAAGATTTAACTAATACTATACCTTTGCAATTTTTCTTGAAGGTCTTTGCATTTAGCTAGAGTCTCCTCATGGCTATGCTTTTGTGTGGAGAATGCCGTCTCAAGTCTCTCTGTCTCTTCTTCTAATCTTTTCACTTTAGCTTCTAATTCTTTGGCATTGAGTTCCAACGTTTTGTATGACTCAGTGACGCATTTGAGCTGAGTTTCTGCCAAGCTTTGGAGGTCTCTCGATGAAGTAAGCTGCGACTTCAGCTCTGATATGAGCTGCTCTTTTTCTTCCAACACAGCCTTTGTGCATTCAAGATTCTGCAAGCATCTTGATAATTCTAATGCAATGTTTTCTTTCTCCAACTTGAACTGTACCACCTCTTTCAACAAGCTCTTACATGTTGAATCATCCTCAGTTTTAGCAAATGTGTCTCTCAGTGGATCAGATTCTAAATCTTCAGCATCTTTATCAAGCGATGTAGCCTTGTTGTTGCTCTCTGCAACAAAGGTCTGTTTGGTATCCTGAGATGACAAAACATGCTTCTCAAGAGTTTCATCTGCAACTTCAAACAGAGGACTAGAGAGTTGTTTGAGTGATGATCCTTGCATCTCTTGGATTGAAAGTCTGGCCGCTTCAACTATTTTCTCAATGCTAATGCCTTCTTGAGATTCAAATACATTACTGATTCTTGAACGCAGAACCGTTAAGACCTGATCAAGTGATGTATCATCCTTCTCACTGTACTTACTAGACTTAATACTACTGCAGGCGCTGTTGCAAGAAGACTTTGAACCTGAGTTAGATCCCTCTGGATCATTTGCTGCTAGTTTCTCTATCTCAAGGAAGTCATCCATTAACTCCAGTCTATTAGACACCTTAGCCTTGGAGGAGCCATCAACATTTGCTTTTCTCACTTTTTGAGAATCACCACCACACTCGGAGGAGCTTCCTTCTTCCTCAAATCCATCTTCTGACACCGAAGTGACACTAGGTGGAGCACTCATATGCATCTGTCCTTCAAGAGCCTTAAGCTTTCCAAGAGTCTTAGCGCATACATTTCTAGAAACCTGCAGCTCATTGCTACGAGAAGCGAGTTGTTCTTTAAGTGTCTGAATCTCCTCCTCCATCTCCAGTGCACGTCTTGTGAGGTTTGCATTCTCTCTTTTGCACTCTTCCCACTTATGATCAGCAGAAGTCTGATCATAACCTAAGGATTCAACTTCTAGCTTCATTTGAGCCATAGCACCAGGACCAGGAAGTTTCTTCCTAAGAAGCCCTCTAAGCCTCTGACACTCGCCTTCAAGCTTTGCAATCTTCTTCACTCCTTCTAGATGCTGTCTGTTTGCGTTCTCCGCTGACTTCAAACTCATGTTCTTCTCCTCGTTCCGGATCTCTACTTCCTTTGCAGCTACATGAACATCGTACTTGAGAGAACTAATCTCCTTCTCAGCTAACTGAACATTAGTCTTTAACTTTTCAACCTCAGCTTCAGCTTTAGACTTTTCCTCCCTGATCTTTACTATCATCTCTGACCGCTCTTGCAGTGATCTAGTGAGTGATGCATTGTCAGAAGCTGCACGGTGAAGCCCTTGCTTTAACTCATCGATCTTTCCTTCAAGCTCGGCTTTGATCTTGTCCCAGTGAATGGTTTTAGCAAGAACAACAGCTTGCAGGTTCTGTTCACTCTCATCTTTCACTGTCCTTATCTGCCTTGTGCATTCTTTCAACGCATCATCCAAATGTGACGCTCTGTCTTCTGCAGTGAGCTTTAAGAGTGTAACAGATTCGAGTTGACGTCTAAGTACTAGAGTCTCTGCATCAGCCTTCTCCCATCCTATAGAACAAAGACTTAAATGAATTTTTAAAGCTTTCCAAATTTTTATACAACAACAATGCTTAAGGAATATGTTTACCTGAAACAGCTTCTTCAGCGACTTTGGCATGCTGAAGAATCAAACCTTCTTTAGTGTTTAACTCTGATTGTGCAGTAGTGAGTTTTTCATGAAGATCCTTAACTTGACTCTCAAAATGTTTGACCTGATCCTCCATTCTACTTAAATGAGTGTATGACTCCATAGTTATCTGAACATAGTTTGTGTTCTTGCACTTCTCCTGACACACACAATCAACACACAAAAAGACTTCAATAAATATTTACAACTCACTCGAAAACTAACACTTTAGCAATATAACCATTGATTGATATAAAGAAAGAACAGAGGGCTGGTCTAGTCTGGTCTAGAATAAAGCTAACCTGGTTCTCTAGAGATGCTAAGTAGGACAAAGAAGAAACATTAGTTGACTCGTTTCCAACCACTGGTTTCTCACACGTGGCTTTGTCCGAAGACTTTTTCTTCCATGGCCAACTTCTACCGTCCATTTTCTTTCTGCTCCTTCTCTGCAAATCAAATTCTTACATGGTTTGCATTTTCTTTTATAAACAAAAAGAAAGTGATTGTTTTTTTTATTTCTCCAACATGGTAAAGTTTGAAAATTTGAACTAACATCCAAAAAAGGAAATAAAAAATCTTAAAACGATTCTGTAAAAATGTTGCTTTCAAATAAATATCACAACCAACAAAAAAGAACATATCCCGCAATATTTATGCCTACAAGAGGTCTACAAAACTACAACTCAACAGTGACAGTTTTGTTTTTCTTGTTTTTTTTTTTCTCTACAATGAATGACAAACAATAAATGATTTATTTTCTTCATCCACCTGTTTTTTTTTTTCAATTTCAAATAAAAAGAAAAATGAAAGAGACTCAAAATTTCAAAATTCTACCCTATGGCTCACGTAATCTTAGATCATCATCAGCTGCACTATCTCACTTATTTGAATACAAAGAAAACAGTAAAAAATCAAAACAAGACACAGACGAAGACACGTACATTTTTTTTCAGGCTTTAGCTAAAAAAATCAGAAAACAAAGCTTACCGAGAGACAAGACTTGATTCCACACTAAAACGTTTCAGAGCGCGCGAAGAAGATCAAAGAGCATTCGTCTGAGCTGCAAAGATAAGAAGAAAGGAAGGGGGAAGAAAGTGGGAGGAGCGTAGTTGTGCCAGAGAAGAAGGAAGGAGCGGGTGGATGGATGATTGATTTATGCTGTCTCCTTTTCTTTTCAACTTTGACGCTCCACAAACAGACAACTCCTCATTTTCAAAAGTTTCTTCTTTTATTTTAATCTTCCTTTTTCTAATCCTAACTAATTTAATAAATAAAATGGAATACGAGGAGACAGGTATCCAATGCATGCGGGTTCATAGAAAAAACTCATGGGGTTTGCCTACTCCTTGAAACTTGATGGATTTGACTCATCCAAGGATATTCAAATTCTTCGGTTTTCCCGGTTTTTATCATGGGCTTTGGCTACGCTTATTTAGGCCCAGTTATTCAATACATGCCTCCGCATAGATTCAAGGTAGAGGTAGCCGGCAATCAAGATACCAATCGGATTTTGAGTCAAATTCTTTGAAGTTTCAGATTTTCGAATTTATGAATTCAGTTCTATTCAGATATTTTAAAATCATGGGTCATATTCAATTCGGGTATAACAGAATCGATTTAGGTCTAGTTATATGTCTAAAATCCAGTTGAATCCAAAATAATTTTTATCATATACTAATCAGATTATCAGTTCTAAAAATATTAATTTTCAGATTCTTTCGAATATCAATTTAAATTTGGATTCAGTTCGGGTAAAATTCATAACCTAAAATACCATAAAAAATCTATTCGGTACTTATACGAGGTTTGGATCGATTCAATTTTTTTTTGTCAGATCGAGTTTGGTTTATTTGTTTAGTCCTACTCCAAGGATTCAAAATCTTCGATTTTCCCGTCATTAAGTATTGATGGCCTTTACTGGGCTTAACTAGGCTCATTAAGAAAACTTGTAGTTTACTCAGTGTATTTGATGGATTTGACTGATCCAAGAACTCAAAATCTTCAATAATGGGCTTTACCTGGGACCAGGCCCATTTAGAGTAGATCAACATTACACTCACTAGGGTTTTGAAAGACTGTGTGGAATATAAAAAGCTCTAACCCTACTTCATTTCACTCGCCGTTAACACAAGAAGACCGAAGGAAGATCATCAACATCATCTTCATCCATGGGTCGTGTCATCAGAGCCCAACGTAAGGGAGCAGGTTCCGTCTTCAAGTCCCACACTCACCACCGCAAGGGCCCAGCCAAGTTCAGGAGCCTCGATTTCGGCGAGAGAAATGGTTACCTCAAGGGTGTCGTCACGGAGATCATCCACGATCCGGGTCGTGGTGCTCCTTTAGCTCGCGTCGCCTTCCGTCATCCTTTCCGTTACAAGAAGCAGAAGGAGCTCTTCGTTGCTGCTGAAGGCATGTACACCGGACAGTTCTTGTACTGCGGTAAGAAGGCCACTCTCGTTGTCGGAAATGTTCTGCCTCTCAGATCTATCCCTGAGGGTGCTGTTGTCTGTAACGTTGAGCATCATGTTGGTGACCGTGGTGTCTTCGCTAGAGCTTCTGGTGATTACGCTATCGTTATCGCTCACAATCCCGACAACGACACAACAAGGTATGAATTTGGATTGTTGAAAATGTTATGTCTTTTTGGGGCTGTAATGAATTTTTATATTCTATTAGATTAGATTGATGAATTTAAAATGTCTACTCTGGTTTATACTAAACCGATTCTAATTAAACTGGTTATGTTTCGTACCGTATTAGAAATGATTGTTGCAAATCTTCATGAATCATTTGGTTTACTTAAAATGATTGTATAAATGGCCTTTTTGTTGTAATTAATTGTTGTTATGATCTAAGCTTAATGATGATAAAATGAAAATTTTAGTCCGGTTTAGTATAAAACGAGTCTAATTTAAGGGTTATGTTTGATGCCATATCGAATTGATTACTGCAAATTATTTGGTTAATAGAGTTTTTTGGGATCTGAAATGATTTTAGAATTGTCTTCTTGAGTTGTTCATTTCAATTATTTTATAAGTTGCAATATTATATGTACTAAATGACAGTTACATGTTGCAATTTTTGACAGGGTTAAGTTGCCATCTGGTTCGAAGAAGGTTGTTCCAAGTGGGTGCAGGGCCATGATTGGTCAAGTTGCTGGTGGTGGAAGAACTGAGAAGCCGATGCTCAAGGCTGGTAACGCGTACCACAAGTACCGTGTGAAGAGAAACTGCTGGCCCAAGGTTCGTGGTGTGGCTATGAACCCTGTTGAGCATCCTCACGGAGGAGGTAACCATCAACATATTGGTCACGCCAGTACTGTTCGTCGTGATGCACCACCCGGGCAAAAGGTTGGTCTTATTGCTGCAAGGAGAACTGGTCGTCTCAGAGGTCAAGCTGCTGCTCTTGCTTCCAAGCAAGAATAAGGAGAGAAAGCTTCATGATGATGAAACTGTTTACTTTTGTTTGTTTTTTGCTGAGACCTTGTTTTGAATCCTTAAGATTTTCTATAATCGTCTTTGAGACCTGTGTCTTCAGGATTGAACCTCCCCTTTATAATTTTAAATTTAAGAATTCAGTTTTGATTTCTGCCAGTTTGTCAGCTATAAGAATTTAATTATAAACACCTTTCAATAATGTTAAAGAAAACCCCAATTTTAGTGGTTACTAGAACCAGTTTAAAAAATCATTAGTTACTACTGTAGGCAGAGATCGAAGTTATGCAAGATTGAACTGCGCTTTACCTCACCTGATGAATGTCCTTACTCTGTCAAACGTTAACATCTGAAACAAATAGTATCTACTTGCAGTTGCAACGATCAGAACTTAATAATCTGATGCAGATCAGTATCCTCGGGGCATTGATCTTGTTCTTAATGCCAAAACCCGCCAAACCACCCCAATAAGACCCTTAACCAATGTGCTTAACTGGGACATACTAGTGTCAACCTCGAACATCATCTGCCATAGAGACTAGTAGTAATAGTAGTAGTACTATTTGGTTATAAACAGGGAGCAGAAAGTGTGAGAGGTATTTTTCTCGACATGTCTGAACTGAAGAAGAAACTTCCTTTGGAAAAATGTACCTTCAGTGGTATGCACAATCTTAGGTACCTAAAATTTTATAACTCTTGTTGCCATCGTGAATGTGAAGCTGACTGCAAACTAAGCTTCCCTGAGGGACTTGAGAGTTTCCCTTGGATGAAGTAAGGTATCTCTACTGGCTGAAATTCCCTTTGAAGAAACTTCCAAAAGACTTTAATCCTAAGAATCTTACCGACCTTAACCTGCCTTACAGCGAGATTGAGTAGATATGGGAAGGTGTTAAGGTGTGTGTCTCTATTTAAGTTTGTTTTAGTTTTATCATTTATGAGTTTTTCTGCTTGTTCACTCCAGGCTACACCGAGGTTAAAAGTGAAACCATGCATTATGAAATTATAAGACTACAAACGCATGAAAATTATATTAATTATCAAATTATCAAAAATCTGAACTTTCTTGTATCAAAAATAAACAGTGTAACTGTTGGCTCTTACACCTATTTGAGTCTAGAACTCCAAAATACATTAAAAAGGTGAGAATAGTTGAATCACAGAATCTTAATGGTCCACTCGAACACCTGGTTTACGGATAGTTTTTATTGGCAAACTACACTCAGTTTTTATTAGAATGCATTAAACATCACGGTGTTAAACATACCACAAAAACATCACCCAGTTTCTATTAGAATGCATTAAACATCACGATGTTAAACATACCACAAAAACATCACGCAGTTCCTATTAATACACAGAACACAGCACGACGTTCAAAAGAAACAAAAAAATAGTTTGGTTGCTCCTCCATCAACATTTTTTAAAATTTCAAAATGTCCAAAAATTATATATACTTTTTCAACTAATTGATTTTAAAAATATAATTATATATAGTAATTATTTTTTTGAAAAAAAATAAATTTAATAGCTAAAATTCAAGTTTTGAAGTTGCACAGCCGCAGAAGGGGGCAAGTGAAGAACACGCGCTCATTCCAGCGACAGTTGACTCCTGGATTTGTTTGATTTTAAAACATTTCTCAAATTTGTAAAAAAAGCAGCGCGTTCGTGCTAAACGACGCCGTGTTTAGGTTTTTAAGGAAAACGCCGCCGTTTCGTCCTCACATCACGAGATCTTCCGTGATTTCGAAATTTGGTGGGGGTACGAGGCAATCCCATGGAGGCAGAAACTGAACATCGTTCATTTCTCAAGGATTGAGGATCAGATCAAATCGGTGATGATGATATTGAAGGAAAAGCCTCGAGGCAAGCCCATGGAACCACCCATTTTAATTGCTTCTATTTCATATATACTGAAAGATTTTGGCAAAGTCCAACTCAATAAAGTGGTGGAAGATGTGTCTGAGCTTTCTTTCCTCAGGTAGTAGATTAACAACATTGTCTTCATAAAAAAAAAAAAAAACATTTGAAATGCTCGTAAATGAGTTTCCTTTTGTATATGAAAGTAAGTTCCTCCATTTCAGTCACATGTTAGCTACTTAAGTCTTTTCAAGCTAGTTTTAATTGTTTTCTAGGGTGTACGATAGGGTGTAAAAGGGTGTCTGTAGGTGTCTTTATGTGCCTGGTGGAACAGCTGTGTAGCCTGGAATATAAACTCTGCAAGTTGGCACAAAGTCCAGACAAGACTATACAAAATGTGTTGCAGATAAAGCTATGATGGACTAAGTCAGCTTCATAAAGATGTCTTTCTCCATGTCGCTTGCTTCTTTAGATCAGGGGATGAGTATTACGTGAGGTGTTTAGTGGAGTCTTGTGACACTGAGCTCACTGATGATGTGAGTGAGATTAAGAATCTCGTGAGATAAAGGCGTTGTTGGTGCGCTAAAGAAAAGAGCAGTAAGATTAAAAAAAACTTTTATCTAGACTGTTTCAGGAGACTTCTACGTGTGTTAACATCTTGTCTTTTATTTGGTTATAAGCAGGGAGCAGAGAGTGTGAGAGGTGTTTTTCTCGACATATCTGAACTGAAGAAGAAGAAACTTCCTTTGGACAGATGTGCCTTCACTGGGATGGGTAATCTTGGGTACCTCAAATTCTATAGTTCTCGTTGCCATCGGGAATGCGAAGCTGACAGCATACTAAGCTTTCCTGAGGGACTTGAGTTTCCCTTGGATGAAGTACGATATTTCTATTGGCTGAAATTCCCTTTGAAGAAACTTCCAAAAGACTTTAATCCTAAGAATCTTACCGACCTTAACCTTCCTTACAGCGAGATTGAAGAGATCTGGGAGGGTGTTAAGGTGTGTGTCTCTGTTTAAGTTTGTTTCAATATATGAGCTTTAGAGTTTCTTAGCTTTTATGAATGTTCATTGCAGGCTACACCGAAGTTAAAGTGGGTTGATCTTAGCCATTCAAGCAAGTTAAGCAAGTTGTCAGGGCTGCAAAACGCTGAAAGTCTCCAGAGACTGAGTCTTGAAGGCTGCACGAGTTTACAGGAGTTGCCTCAAGAGATGAACCGTATGAACTGTCTTGTTTTCCTCAACATGAGAGGATGCACAAGTTTCCGGTTTCTTCCACATATGAATCTGATCTCTATGAAAACTCTCATCCTCACCAACTGCTCAAGTCTTCAGGAGTTTCGATTTATTTCGGATAATCTTGAAACTCTGAAGCTAGATGGAACCGCCATAACTCAACTTCCTGCAAACTTGGTGAAGCTCCAGAGACTGATGGTATTGAACTTGAAAGACTGCATAATGTTGGAGGCTGTTCCAGAATGCTTGGGGAAGCTGAAAGCGTTGCAAGAGCTGGTGCTATCTGGTTGTTCAAAGCTCAAGACGTTTCCAGTTCCCATTGAAAACATGAAATGCTTGCAGATTTTCTTGCTCGATAGGACAGGGATTACAGACATGCCGAAGATATTGGAAGATGTACGCCAAATAAAAGGTGGTCTGAGCGGCGTATCCTCATTATTGCGTCATCTATGCTTAAGCAGAAACGATATGATCAGCAACCTGCAAGTAAACATAAGTCAACTATATCATCTGAGGTTGCTCGACGTGAAGTACTGCAAGAATCTCACATCAATTCCGTTGCTTCCACCAAACCTAGAGGTTTTAGATGCACATGGCTGCGAGAAACTGAAAACTGTCGCAACCCCCATGGCGCTTCTTAAGCTTATGGAGCAGGTTCACTCTAAATTCATTTTCACCAACTGCAACAATCTTGAACAAGCTTCAAAGAATAGTATCACAGTGTATGCTCAAAGGAAAAGCCAGCTAGATGCAGTTAGATGCTATAAAGAGGTCTCATTCCTCAATCTTTACTTTATCTATTGGAATCTCTATAACAGTTTGTGATTTTTTTTTTTTTTGAAAATCTTTGTGTTACTTTTGCAGGGAAATGTTACAGAAGCTTTGCTTATCACTTCTTTTCCAGGGAGCGAAGTTCCTTCATGGTTCAACCACCGCACAATTGGATCTTCCTTAAAGCTCAAGTTTCCACCACACTGGTGTGACAACAGACTCTCAACAATAGTTCTATGCGCTGTTGTCTCATTCCCTTACACACAAGATGAGATCAACCGTTTCTCAATAGAGTGCATTTGCAAGTTCACAAACGAACTTGGGACATGTGTACGTTTCAGCTGCACTCTTGGTGGAGGTTGGATCGAACCGCGTAAGATTGATTCGGACCATGTGTTTATCGGTTACACCAGCTGCTCACACCTAAGAAATCATGTTGAAGGGTCGCGAGAACATCATGAATGTGTTCCTACAGAGGCTTCGATAGAGTTCGAAGTGAGAGATGGAGCAGGTGAGATTGTGAATTGTGGTTTAAGTTTGGTATACGAGGAACCAAACCATGTCGTTACTGAAGAAGAATGTAATGAGATTTCTTCAAGAAGAGATTTCTCAGTTGGATTAAGTATAGTGAGCTCTGCTGTTAGGTTTTTGTCCACTGTTTTGAAATATCTATGGCTAGTTGTTGCATTGTTTTTAGTTTTTGGATTTACTAGATTTTTTCTTTATTGAATTTCTATATGTAAAATAAAATAAATAAAATTTGATCAGGAGAAGAATGCATTAATATTAAACATCACGGTGTTAAATATAGCACAAAAACATCACTCAGTTTCTATTAGAATGCATTAAACATCACGATGTTAAACATGCACAAAAACATCACGCAATTCCTATTAATACACAGAACACAGCACGACGTTCAAAAGAAACAAGAAAATAGTTTGGTTGCTCCTCCATCAACATTTTTAAAAATTTCAAAATGTCCAAAACTTATATATACCGTTTTCAACTAATAGATTTTAACAATATAATTATATATAGTAATTATTTTTTTGGAAAAAAATAAATTTAATAGCTCAAATTCAAGTTTTGAAGTTGCACAGCCGCAGAAGGGGGCAAGTGAAGACCACGCGCTCATTCCATCGACAGTTGACTCCTGGATTTGTTTGATTTTAAAACATTTCTCAAAATTTGTAAAATAAGCAGCGCGTTCGTGCTAAACGACGCCGTGTTTAGGTTTTTTAAGGGAAACAACGCCGTTTCATCCTCTCAGCAGAGATGTCTTTGATCAAAAAAAAAGTTTACAATATGTTGTGAAATTTTGTGACTTATCTTCTTCTTACCCGAAAACAGCTTCGTTCCATTGTTTCTGCTTCCATAGGAAATGGGCCTTAAAGACTTTTCTACTTTCCTTGTTAAAGTTGGTTTCATCATTTTTCTTATCTAAGAATGGGCTTTTGTAATTTATGGGCTACTCTTGCAACAGTCACCATAGAGTAGCAACTGTTGATGTGACGTCGTTTTCACGTTCAGCTTATTTCATCCAAGCGTTTTTACTTTTTGCACATATCTGAAACTTTTTTAGTTTCATAAACCTTTTTCTTCATGTTTGACTCTAAAACAATCATTAGCCCTAGGAACACCAGTCCATAGAAAGCAACATAACAATAGATTGTAATGTTTTCGGATTTGAAATTTTATTTTAATGTACAGCATAGATGAACTACACATGATGATCAAATCTTCCCACAGCAGAAGAACTCCATCATTTCATGTGGCATCATTGTTTTACTCTCTCTTTGGCCACACACAAACCTTTGTTAAAAAAAAAAAAAAACTTGGTCAAATTACTTTTATTTATTAATTGTCTGAAATGGATTGAACTACGACAACGTGCGATTCCCTTTTTGGTCAATTTCACATTATAGTCTCGAGAGAGGGAAAAATAAAATAAATATTTAAATTTTGGAGGGTAACCTATGCATTGTTCAAGGTTCTGAGCTACCTTTTTTACTATCTTGCCCAAAAGAGTGAGTACACCAGAATTTTTTTTCTAGTACACTAGAAGTTGTCAGTGGGTATAACTCGTATCATAATATAGCCGCGTATTTAGGTAGATGCAAACCATATAACAAACATAACACGTCTGTATTCACCCATCATCGAAGTTCTGGCTTGAACTTGCCCGATCTACAAAAACATTAGACGACGTAGTATATATTTTAAGAAAAGAATTACATAGTTACATAATGAAATATAATTTCTTACCCACCGAGTGATGATCTAGTGGTAAGCGAATATAGGAAAACTAAGCAAACCCAGGTTCGAAGGTTTTCCAATAACTTCACATTGTAATAGTCAGGATTATAGTCAGGATTGTAATAAATCTCATTTTAATATTTGGAGAGAGACCATCAATGGAGTCATCTCCACTTGTGAGTAGTCTAGAACAATCTATTATCATTGGATATTTGTAGTGTAATAAATAAATAAAAAAACAAAATACTTTAACAGATAAAACAAGTTAAATGTAGACACTTTATAGAATAACGTGAATATTATTTTCAAGTAAAACTGTATATATTACAAACTTAGTTTTTGATATATAATAGTCAGGATTATAAGGTTATAGAATGTGACACTATATATTTCAGGGAAACGAAGCATTCAATGAATTGCATGTTGTTTGGGGAATGACAAAAAAGTAGCAAATTAATCATTAGTTTGATTAAAAGTTCGTAATTGTTCCTAATCATATTCATACTGACCATCTATTTTACTTACGTGGAGGGACTCCAGTGGTTAATAACATGAAAGATAACTGATCCTTGTGATCGTACAATTGGTTGTTCTGTCATAATATTCTTTTTTTTGGTAAAATTGTTCTGTCATAATTCTAATCAGTTCCCCACTAATTGGGTTTTGACAAAATCTTAGTTTTTTTTCATTTTTATAGATATATAAATACCTTTATTTGCTAGATATTCACGTAAAACTATTAATTATTCACGTATAAGCTTTCATTAATATGTTTTTAAAAAAATTACAAACACCATGAGTGTGACTGGATGACATATGTAGCGATAATAAAGTAGAGTAAAAGAATTTCCAACCAAATTACGCTACTTTTTTTCCAATCAAGAAGAATATGATTTTAGCCAAGTTACGCTAAAATAAAATAAAAGTGAGGTAAATTATTTCTCTAGTTTGATGGAGAGAGAAATGTTACGCTGAGTTGCGTTTTTAATTTTTCACCTAGTTTAGCCTTTTTCATTTCACATATTTACTCCAGCATTTGCCAGTCACACCCCATATTTGACCTTGTAAAAAGAAGAAAAAAAGATTGCATAGAAGACATGAGAGTGGTTAGTTTCACAAAGAAAAAAAAAAGAAGACATAAGAGTGGTTAAGTTGACCCACCTTAAGTATGAAATGGACAAATCAGAAGCCTTGTCTTTCTTTCAATCACATCTCTCCCCCTCAAAAGGTACCATCAAGTAAATTTTCTTTGCTTAGATTTTGGCATCATCTTTTGACACTAACCTAGCCATGTACCATATCCATAATATACATATATATATATATATATATATATATATACACTTGTACAAAGCGAATATTATCACATTTTCAATATTTGTTATTTTATTCATATTTCACGGGTATTTAATTTTTTGATTCATTTTATTTTGAAAAAAATACGGATGTTCGTTTTTTGGATATTCAAAAAGATTATTAATATTTTTGAATATTTACGGATGTCTTATCTAGTTTATTCACTACAAGTAAATCTAGAAAAACTAGACAAAGTCTAAATATATATCTACATAAGATAAAATATAAAATGAAAATTAATGAAACTTTATGGTTTATAAATTTAAATTAATAAAATTATCTCATTAAAAAAAAATTCTTAGAATTTTTTTAGTTTTCTAGAAATATTTTATATTATTTTCTTAATTTAATATTTTTATAAGTAAAGTTCTAAATAAAATTAATAGATAATATGTTAAAATAATACTTATATAAGATTTTGTATTTAAAACTATATATTTAATTATAAATATACATCTATTTGCATACAAGTCGGAATTGAGCAGATAACCGTCTCTAATTTTTTTGATATTTTTTATAATTTCTTAGAATTTTTTTAGTTTTCTAGAAATATTTTATATTATTTTCTTAATTTAATATTTTTATAAGTAAAGTTCTAAATAAAATTAATAGATAATATGTTAAAATAATACTTATATAAGATTTTGTATTTAAAACTATATATTTAATTATAAATATACATCTATTTGTATACAAGTCGGAATTGAGCAGATAACCGTCTCCAATTTTTTTGATATTTTTTATTTGATTTGGTTTTGAGTTTTAATATTTTTTTGTTTCGAAGATTTACGAACATCCAGGTTTTATGGATTGAATCGAAATGAATAAGAGTCAAATCAAATTAAATAGATAAATATCAGCCTTATATTTGTAATGTTGAATAGATTACTTTAACAATGTTGAAGATCCTTCCAATATATTACACAGCATGCTCATACAAATGTTATATAATCAAAACGATTAGTTCCATTGGCACAACAAAACTAGGTTAACTGAACTCCATCCAGAAGTTATCAGTTTGCCGATCCAGTTTGATATGCTCTCACGATTTAACATGATTTGGCTATGTGAATTTCTTTTTTTGTAAAGTGCTCGGCTCAAATAATCCCTCAAGTCCGGATCAGCCGGCAATAATACCAATAATATGGTGTAAAACATCATTTCCAAGGGAAATCAAACTAGGGATGCAATGTAACCTATTCCAAACACCAAACCAGAAACCACTATCCCAATGCACCATTGGTTACTATGTGATTTCTTTAGACGTTAGTTTGTACAAAAATTCAATTCACACATTATATTAAGCCGCGTAAAAACGAACTTAATTAACGCATGCATGGAACCATGTTAAACTCAATTATTAGGAGTAAACGAAACTTATTCTAATATACCTTGTCAATAGAAGCTTCTACTAATTCTTAACGTGCATGGTCTAACTTTGACCTTTAGTATTTTGTCGGCAGCTACTAAATTAAAATGTTTTAACAGAAAAGTTAAATCAAAATATTTCCACGTATCATATATATATATATAAACCAATTAATGTGTACAATTATGCTTTGGCATCATAGAAAAACAATATGATTTAGGATAATGAATAATTTAAGTTGATAGGAATTAGACTTAAATTTACATTGAAAACTTAGAAAAAGGAAGAAACGGGTTAGGGACTCTTGAAACGACGACAAAGCATGCCCAACGGACTTCCCCATCGTGTACACCGCACGCTCGACAACTCATGGGCCCACTTGGGCCAACTCTTTTTTTTTTCTTTAGTCATAAAGTTAATTAATTAATTTATTTATCTATCTATCTAATGTTTTATTCCTATTTTATTCTATGAAATTTGATGTTTTTGTTTACTTATATTAAATTTTTACAACATAATTTTTTTATAACATTAAAATACATATCCTTAAATATTATATTCTCTTTGTCACTTTATAAATAGTTTTTTATGTAAACTTAACTTACATGTTCGATATCTATATATTAACACATACATATCCTTAGATATTAGATTCTCTTTGTATACTTATAAATAGTTTTGTATGTAAAATTAACTTGCATATGCCATATCTATATATTAACACTTTTTCTTTTTGATAATAAAT